TAGTCCTGCTGCAAGCACGGAGTAGGCGATGCAGAAGAAGATTGCGGCAGCGTACAAAGCGACGCGCGCGCGGCTCAAGGCCGAGCGCCTCAAGAAACGCGAACGCGAACGCTTGGCCAAGCTCAACTCGGCGCTCGAGGAGGCGGGGCACGAGCCGTCCGCGGCCATGACGACGCTTAAAGAGGTACGGCATGACCACGTCATGGCCAAGCCTTGATGCATAATCCTAGGTGGAAAACGAGGAAGACGACGACGACGGTGGGATGCAATTCGATCTCGTACGATATCTGAGCAACGTGAGTAGATGACGACGACGACGAGGCGCACTACCCCGGCATGCACTCGGACGACAGCGATGCCGACTCGCGCGACGACCTCGATGTCAACGTGGACGACGAGTACGAGCTCCTTCTCACAGCCTTTTCGCACGCCGACACCGAGTCCAACGGCCGCTTAAACCGTGTACAGAGTACGTACGATGCTGTTCGAGCGTCGGCTCATGCGATGCATGCCAGCGCGGCGAGCACTCGTGCATGCGCTGGGCTTTGGTGTGAGCCAGGCCGACGTCAACGGCGCCATCGAGACGTACTCGGAGGCCTACGACGACACAGTACGACTCACTCGACGAGCGTTCTCGTCACGCGGTGTAGGTGACGTTCGAGGTGTTTGCGCGCATCTTGACCTTTATGAAAGACAATCGTGAGGACGAAGCTAAGACGCCGCGCGCGATGCCACTCGCACGCAAACTCTCACCGCGCATGAAACATCCATGATACAAAGACAATATTGTTTGTAAATGTACTACTCAATACGTCATGTTGCGGCGCATGGGCGACACCTTGGTCGGCCGGGCATGGGGGAGGTAGCCCATGAGACGTTGCTCCGACAGCTTGGACGTGTCCCGCGCGGCGGCGTTCGACGACTCGGTGTACACGTGTGGAAAGTGCTCGGCGCACATGTCCTTGATGAACGCTTCGTCGACGTCGTTGGCGTCGTCGAGGAAGCGCTGGGCGGTGCGCCATGCATCGCGCTGGCGGTCGAGAGGCTCGATGGGCAGCCACGGCTCACTTTGCGCCTGGCGCAACGGGCTTGCGTGTCGTGGCGGCGGCGACTTGGCTCGGAGTCGCGACATCATGGTTGTCGCGAGGTTTTGGATGTACTCCTCATCCTCGTCGTCCATGGGCAATGTCGGGCGATTTAGCGTCCTACAGAAGCTGTTGATAGGAGAGTAAGAAAGCTATACTGGCTTTGTACGGTGTCGGGGCACGTGCAAAGAAGAGGCGGTCGCTCTCGACAAGGGCCATCTTGGCCTGGTGCGGCTTGAGTGGCTGGGCTTTCAACCGGCTGCTGCTTCTCTCTTCGTAGTTGTTGTCGCCCAGCATTGTACTCTCGTCAATATGGCTAAACGACGCGCTGCGTTCTCGGTCCAGCGACGACGACGAGCTCTCGCGACTGGACTTTTGGTTGCTTGGTAGCAACTCGTTTGGCTACAAGGCTCTGTGTCGGGCGTCGTTGCAGAGAGACAAGTCTACCGTGCGGGGACCGCTGCTGTCGGTCGGATCGACCCGGTTCTGGGACGTTTTCGGCGCCATCTTGGCAGAGGTCACCGCGCTCGCGTCCATGAGACGGTGCAGAAGCGCGACCGTCGACTCGGACACGTGCTTGGCCGAGAGGTCGACAAAGATGCGTCGAAACTACGAGCTGGTATGCAGCGAACTCGATGCTCTCTGCGTACGTACGCATCGCAGCCGCTCCCGCACGACCTGGTCGTGGCTCGAGCCTTTGAGTAGAAATTTGCGGGGCAGCGGCGCCGAGAGACACTCCATCTCGAGAATCTACGGTGTGAGTGTTGTACTTGCTAGAACAAAATGTCCGAATGAACGCACGGGTTTGAGGTGCTGGCGCAGAGTCTTGTGGCGGGCTTGGATCTTGCGCGTCTTGTCGCCGTCCTTGAACGAGACGTGGTAAAGCTCGACGTTGCGGCCTGACGCCGACGTCGCTGTCGAGTGCCCCGTAAGACTCAGTAGCACTTGGCGCATCGGCTCGGGAATGCAAAAATCTAAGCTTAGATACAACGCAAGCGTCGTTTGCCCTGGACTGAAACGAGCGGATAACGGCGGCTGCTTGAAACCCACGACGCCCTTTCGTGTTGCGTGCACCGACTCTCTCGTGGTCTATGTCAATATTTTGCGTGGCAACGCAAACATCCGACCGTGAACGTCACAGTTTACGCGATGCAGCACAGAACCGGCCAACATCATGGGCTAACATCAAGTAGCTCAACACAAATGTCACTCGAGCTATATATTATTTTAGAGAGCGCTGCTATGGTTTATTCTAGAGAGCGCTGCTATGGTTCGCTAATTGCTCGTCGACGTGTTGCCGAAGAATCGCAATGAGCTCGTCCGGGTCAAACTCGGCCATGGCGAGCGGGGCGGCCTGCCACGTCTCGTACCCACGCACGTTTCCATGGTGGTCCTGGTTGCCTACATGGAGCACTTGTTGCCGATGCCATGACCACACGCTCGACGTACTGGGCGTAAAACGATGTGCATGGCTGGCGTCGAGATGATTCGCATAGCGCGCAGGTTCGTGCGGCTGCGGTTCACGTGAGCGGCCAAAACCATACTATGCACTAGTATATGGGACAGGAGTACCTTGGCGGGTACGTGGCGCGGCGGCCGTGGCGCGGTCAGATTGAGATCGGGAAAGAGCTGAAGCATCGCTGCGTTGAGCTTTCTGACGCACACGACGTCACCGGGCTCGTCGCCATCCACTTCGGGCGCGTCATTGTTGTCGTTGGCGGTGCGGTCCGTCGTCTACGCAGCACACTTACAGAGCCGCCTCGAGAGGGATGGCATCGAACGCTGGCGTAGGTCGCAGAGACGCTGTCCGCGTGGTCGAACAACTGGTGTAGCTGCTCAATGTTCTCGTTCGTAAAGTGAATGCGCGAGATTTGAGCGCAGCAGTGCGCCAGCTACATCATGCGATGTCCGAGACGATTGGGACGTGGGATCGACAGTATGTACTTGGTGCTCTCGCTCGATCATGACCAGTGTACTCCAAGCATGTTGCAGAGGCTTCTTGCGAGGAAACGCGTCTAGAACCCATGGGTATCCACCGCAAATCTACACGTCGCCGTGAGGACTTGACGGTGGGCATATGGCCGACGTCAAAGATGTGACGGCGAAGGAGGCTGTAGCGGGCCATCGTCGAGCGCACGCGTGCTCCGTCCTGCAATCGCAGGTGGTAGAGGCCGATGGCTTTACTTTTGGCGCCAAGCACGACCGAGCTGCCTTGCACCGAGAGCGTCACTTGTCGGACCATCGGACAGGCAGAATGGATCTTGGACAGGCGCGATCGATTGTCACAGGGAACCTGACGTTTTGTATTTGTTGCTAGAGGTTTTCGGTAGCCAGCTTGATATCGTCTTGGATCAAGAGAAGCATGGCGAAGAAGGGGAAGACGGCCGTGATCCTCAACGTGTACGACCTCGTGGAGGCGAATGCGTACACCCATGGTAAGTTGACGTGCGGTATGTGAAGGTCCATCATCAGCGCGTGGCGGTACGTAGGGCTCGGCCTTGGGGCCTTCCACTCGGGCGTCGACATTGCCGGCGACGAGTACTCGTTCGCCGGCGGCGCAGGCATCTTCACGTGCCGGCCCAAGCAGGCCGACGGCGCCGTCTTCCGCGAGTCCATTCCCATGGGCTACTTTGAAGGCTCCTCCAACGATGCTCGACAAGTCCTCGACGAGCTGCGGTCCGAGTTCCAAGGCCATCAGTACAACCTCTTAACAAAGTACATGCATCGATCTGCTACGTCGCGGGCTCATCGTGCTCTCGTGGTACTAGGAACTGCAACACATTTTCCAACGAGCTCTGTCTACGACTCGTTGGCGTTCCGATTCCAGCTTACGTGAACCGCATGGCGTACCTTGGATCGTTCTTGAGCTGTCTCTTGCCGCGCGAGCTCACGGGTCAAGCGCCGGTCGAGGCCGACTCGACACCGACAGCCGCCAACAACCCGCGGGCCTCGTACACGTCGTTTGGCGGTCCGATAGCGTGCGATGTACGACGCGTTCATGCTCATGTGGAGGATGGCGTAGGCTCGGGCATCTCGCTCCGTGGCACTGCACCCAGCACCGACACGGACGAAGACATGGAGGTGCGCCGAGAGAAGCGACGCCTTGCTGCCATGCGGCGCATTGAGCTCATGCAGGAAAGCTCCTGAGGGCTCTATTAAACTACTCTCAACGCCATCTCAACGATGCCCCCTACAGTCTACGTGGTCGTCTCTGCAGGTCGGCGCTTGGCTTGGTCCTCGAAACATCTCGACCATACTCTCGGACGACAAGCTCCCTATAGCTTAACTCCAGAGAGCGAGTCGTTGCGCTCCTCTGCAAAAGCACGTTCTGTGACCTAGTTGCTTGCAGCATGGTACAAGCTTCATGGGATCTTGAGCGCTGGGTAGCTCACTTCTCGGCCACGCGACGTGACGACGCGTGCATACGAGCATCTACTACCCAAAACAATTCTAAAGACACCACGATCGGGCACTCATACTGAGCAGTTGTAAACACGCATGCTCACTACCGACGGACGTTCTTGCCCATCGCCTCTCGACGTCCGTTGCGCTTGATCTTGGGCGTCGGCGTTAAGGAGGTCGTCGTTCTCGTCCGTGAACGGCATGAACGGCACTCAAAACCGTTCTTCTTACCGACAGTCACAAAGAACGACCTCATCTCGTTGATCTTGCAGTTCGCGAAGAGCTTTTGAAGTGTTTCCGAGATGATGATCGACTTGGTGTGACCGATTCCGCTCCCTGGCAACAACCAAAACGTGAAACACCAGACAGAGGGAGGCCGTACTCCCTAAACACCGGCTAGTGTACTATAGTGCAGAACGGAAAGTGACAGCTAAGCTACGTCTCGTGACTGCTGCCAAAGGCTATACAGTCCCACATCAACGGGCTTCTCCCGTAGGACTAAACATGCAAACACACATCGCCTTGTCCCGGCCTAGTGGTGTTGACGTGGGCTAGGCTCACACCCAGTGCCCCACCACTGTATGCGACCAACGGTCACACTTGGCGAGGGCTTCGCTCTCGGTTTCTTTGGGTACAAGTATACTGACAAGGACGGTATGGATCGAGTTACCGTACACGTACGACTGGGTGACGTATATGTTGCTCTTGATGACGCTTTCAATATATTGGGGCCACGCCCTGCAAGCGCTTGGAGATGCTCGTCTTGCGGTCGGCACTCTTGAGGCGGCCATGAAACATCAAGACGACAGTGTGTCGCCCGAGCGAAGCCAGCCCACTTCATCGACCGCCGTCTTGGTCTTGGCATCGTGATGACGTAGCCGATAGAAATGGATGGAGTACATACCTCGCTGCGGTCGTTGTCAGGCATGCGCGTCGCATCGATGTCGCCGTGGACCGTGTCGGTGACGCTGTAGCCATTGGGCACGAGCGTCACCTCGCAGCACGACATGTGCGCGCCGACCGTGTGTATGAATAGCAGAGGGAGCCCAAAAACCAAAGTATGGTACCCATAACGTGCGTACAGCCTGCACTAAGCGCAGGTCAAATTGGTGCAAACTGATACTGCAGTATCAATGTATCATTGTATCAGTCGACCGGCGCGGGAAGCAATAACTCGACTATCGCACGCTGTAGACACGCTACGAGCACCATATTTGCATTTTTGGACTCCCCGGGACATTCTCTACACAAGTAGTACGAAGTAAAAGATTTAATTTCTACCCCCAAAAGTCGGCAACGCGCAGCCGAGGAGCGCAGAGC